GAATTACTGTACAGAGAAAACAGTTCATAAAGGCAAGTTACTTTAAGTACAAACTTCTATTAAATTCCCATGATGATTTCAAACTGAATTCAGATCAACTTGACCTAAATTTATTTAATTTATGTTTCCTTATCAGTTGCATACTGCATGTACAATCTGTTCTCATACTGATTGCCTCTACAGTTCTAGCCTGGTAGTCTCTGCTGCCAGGCATGTTGTGGTATAGAACAAGCTGTCTCTTAGCACGGAAATAGTTGTGTGTATGCTTACAAATGTAGATTTACCTTTGTCACAGTATTCTAAACCACCTGACTAAACCTTTCCTATATCACATTGTATCCTGTAACAATGTAGCTCATCAGACCAAAGCTGTGCTGTTACTATCAACTGTGCTCTTCTAATCCATCTATATACATGTCAACACTTCCATTTTTTGTGATAGATTACCACATAATTGCTGCAATTGCAATTTTTTTCCTCAGTGTCTCTAAGCACAGGGTACAATTTTGATGCAATATTCTCAACAGCACAGAGGCCCTCTGGGCTTTGTTTCATTATCATAATTATAGCTTATAGGGTTTCCAAAGCCAAAGTGACCACAATTTTAATGCCAAAATGTTTTGTGAGTAAGAACTGCCATTGACACAATTATGTCAATGTTTTCCCATATTTGTGGGTCTACAATTAAATATTGTGACAGAGCTAGCACCAGTACCCCTCATAACAGACTAAGAGAGAAATACCAAAAAACTTATCCACTAGTTGGTTTGATCATAATGATACATTTACAACAAATCACACTCTATTATCCTTGTTGGCCCCATTATTTGAACCCACCCAATCAAACCTTTCTACTTTTCTCTTGACTATGGCATTTTTCCAAATCATGATAATCTAATATTTCTGACTGTGCATTCAAATTTTATTTTTGGTATATGGTGATGCTGGTAAGGTTGCTGTGCCTAGTTGTCTGACATTGTGCCTTAAAACAATTGACTGGTGTGTTAGACAATGACAGAGGGCATATAAGAGACAACCACACCAGAGTCACATCAGAGCTAGATCAGGTAAAGATAGCAGGCTTCTTTCTTCAAGAGGTATTAGTAAACCAATTGGATTGTTAACAACAATTTAATAGTATTATTGCCACTTTTACTGCCACTGACTCTTTATATTCAAAGCCAGTGGTTCCCAATTTTTTTGTCTATGGGTCACTTAACCGGATCATAAATCCTTCAGCACCACATACTGGAGCAATCCCACCCTCTTTCCCTTCCCACCACAAAATGATTCATCAGAATTAATGGGAAGAAAGGCATTACTTTTGATGAGCCACATGGTTAGCACTGCTGCCTCACAGAGCGAGGGGCCTGGGTTCAATTCCGGCCTCGGGTGACTGTCTGTGTGGAGTTTGCACAGTCTCCCCGTGTCTGCATGGATTTCCTCCAGGTTCTCTGGTTTCCTCCCACAGTTCAAAGATGTGCAGGCTAGGTGGATTGGCCATAGTAAATTGCCCATAGTATCCAGGGAAGTGTGGGTTAGAAGGATTAGCCATGGGAAATGCAAGGTTACAGGGATAGGGTAGGGGCGTAAGTCTGGGTGGGATGCTCTTTGGAGGGTCGGTGTGGACTTGTTGGGCTGAATGATCTGTATCCACACTGTAGGGATTCTATGATATGAGTAGAACTGGTTAAGAGCTGGAGCACTTCACTGTCAATTTGAGTCAATTCCTCTTGATTTTCTGCCCCGTGGGATTTGAAAATCTGGCCATGTACTGATTGTTGTAACAATTACATAAACCATCCTTAATAATTTGAATCAGAGATAGTAGGAACTGCAGATGTGGAGAATCCGAGACAACAAGGTGCAGGGCTGGATGAACACAGCAGGCCAAGCAGCAT